TTTTTGCTCATTTACAAAGCAAATCACGCGACTGCGAGTTGCCCCCGTCGCAGATGTCGTCAAAAGTTCAGCCGCGGCAGACGGCAAAAACAATTCTGTAAACTTTGTTCTTGTTGTTGCTGGCTAATTTTAAATGCGCTGATAAGTTGCACAAATATTCTAAGGATGTGTATCTTGTGGGTTGGCGGGGTTGGCTCTAGTTTTTTTGCTGATGACGTTCCCGATGATCGTTGCGCGTTGCAGCTGCAATGAATGAGCCACAACCACAAGCAGGAGGCAGCTAATTAAGTTCAAACAAATTATGATATTGAGCGCTAATTTAAATGCAATTAAAACATGCGATGCTATTTAAGCTCGCTGGACGCTTAAAGCTCCACAGGCGAGCTTTAAGTGCGCCTTAACGTGAGCTTTAAGCGAGCTTTATGCAGCTCAGTCATCAATAAGCAATGAACGCTCTTTAGCTAGCTTTCGACGAGCTTTAAGTGAGTTTTAAGCAAGCTTTGTGTGAGCTCTAAGTGCGCTTGAAGCGATTTTATAGCGCTAACACAGTTTACTTGAGGGCAGCTGACAGCTTTAAGTCTAACAAAATCAGTTATAAAAACTTTTCGCTATGTAACTGTCTTTACTGAGCTTTTGGCGAGCTTTAAGTGCGCTTTAAGCTCAAGATAAAGCTTTTGTCAGCTGCTGTACACACACAATTAACAATTAACAATTAAATAAATATTCAAGCTTAAATGAAGCTTAAGTGATCTAAAGCTTTAAGCTGGCAATGCTTGGCTGTTTCTAAGGCTAAAGATGTGCATTTCAATTAAAGATTTTCGTTGGCAATTTAATGGCAAAGAAAATATGCTATACGAATTTGGCTTTGGCCTGCGAACAGTTGCACAAACACATCACACATCACACATCACATGCCTATCAGCGATGCACAATTTTGATGATGCGCGAACGGCCATTTAATGGCCAAAGGGGGGGCAGCGGGGCGGGACTGGCGCTGATTGTGCATTGATAAGTGAAGTGCATGACAGGAATGCCAAATGGGAAATGGGCAAAGCCAAATGGCAAAGTTTTGGACGTTTTTGCCCGAGCTGCGCCCGGCGGCAGCTTGTGCTAATGAAAGGCATATCGAATGGCGGCAATAAAAACTAGAATTTGGCTTTAGCCCAGTTGAAACCAGAAGCAGCCAAATTCTAGCCAAATACAGCCAAGCCAGCCACCGCTCCCTCTTCCCTCTTCCCTCTCTCTCTCTCGCTCTCTCTGTCGAGTCGTTCGCTTTGGAACGGAAATGCGACAACGAAAAAAACAAAAACAAAAAAAAAAAAAAAGGCTAAATAAAAAACTGTAGCAGCCCACGAATCTGTGAAGCGTATCTGTATCTTATTTGCCTACGCTGCAGCCGAAATACAAAAAAAGAGCCAAATTAATTAACATACAGACAGACAGACAGACAGACGGACAGAGGGAGGAAGGAAGGTAGGGAGGGAGGGAGGTAGATTGAGCGAGACGGCATTTGGCGTTTTTTCTAGCTATAGCTGGGTGGGCGAGCCGCAGCCAGCCCAAACTCGAATTCAAGCTGAACTCCAACTCCAACTCCAACTCGAAACTCTCTGCTGCAATTTGACACCTTGTGGGCATTAAGTGCTTCCTCTGCCCACACGCGACTCCAGAGACGCTCGACTCCAGCGACTCTCGACTTGAGACTTGAGACTTGGGACTGGAGACTGGAGACTTGGCGGCGATTTGGCGATTGCGACGAAGCTGGCGACGCCTCGTCTCCAAGCCAAAAAAGGCTGCAATTGGCTGTTGTTGTTGTTGCTGTTGTTGCTGTTGCCAGCATTGCTGCAACCGGCAACAAATTGGTTGCATTTCGTTTTCGACTGCCTGACATGCAACTGACACTGACGTCGACGTCAGCGTCGACAGCGACAGCGACAGCGACAGCGACAAAAACAAGAAGAAAGCACGAAAAGTGTCCAGCAAAGCCGAAGCTTAAATGCTCTAACTTGTCAAAAAGCATCATAATTGTATTCCTCTCGGCTTTTTCTAAGCTAATAGATAGCGGACTTTTAGCATTTTGGCTAGCAAATCCTTTAGCTTTCAAGCTAAAACAAACTCTACGCGAACTTTGTCAAAGGTTCAAAGTTTGGCTTAAACTAAAGCAACTCTTCAATTTAACTGAACAGGCACATTAATTTAGAAAAAGAAAGCAAATATATTTTTAGTTCACATGCAAGAACTTAACTCAAGCTTTGAGCTAAACCCCAACAACTAAGGCAGAAAGTTAGTTGAGAAGCCTTTTTTTTTTCTGTCCCTTTCGTTTTTTTTTTTTTTTTGTTGCCAGAAATGCATTTTGTTGTTGCCAAACATATGCTGCATATTTGGGCCAGTTCACATATTTTGCCGACCAAATGCGAGTACCTTAAGACTTGAGGCCGAAACGCGAGCCCGGCAAAAAACTTGGCTCTGACTGCGGCTCTGACTCTGACTCTGGCTCTGGCTCTGGCTTGACTTGACGTTTTAACGTGTTTCGTTTTTGTTTAGCTCTTTTTTCGCTTTATTTTCTTTTATTTTTGGCCTTTTCATCTGCTTGTGTTCGTTTCGTAAAAGATCATGGATATGTTTGCCGAGATGCCAAACGAAACGCAGCTCTCTGTCTGTCCCCCCACCCCGCCATCCATCCACACCCTTTGCCTGTCCCGCTCTCTGTCTCTGTCTGTTTGTCGTCTCGTTTGCTGCTTTACGTAGGCACATCTTGATTTTCGTCGTTGCTGTTGTTGTTGTTGTTGTTGTTGTCTTTTACACGCATTCATTAAAAATAAGTTAACAACTTTTTAACACCTAACTGGGCGGCAGACAGTTGAATAAATGAATTATGCTGACGAATGGCGAATGCTGTGTGTGGATTGTGCCTTGGTTAAGGGGGGCGAGGGGCTTGGCCGGGCAACGTAGGCAGCCCGGTCTTTCAAGGGGAACGCACGGGTGATCGTAGGGTAGGAGGGGGGGAGCTTCACTAAGCAGCTCGCAGCTCGCAGCTCGCAGCTGGCGGCGGCTTGTTAATCAGCTAAATTAAATGCGAAATGAACAAAACGAATTGGTAGTTAGTTGTTGGCCAGTTTGTTCGTACCCCTCTCCCCCCCCCCCTCCCATTGACGCTGTCTGCTTCACCTGCTGAAAACGTGCGTGGTTTTTGATGTTTGATTAGCCCAATCTTGTGGCGTTTCCCCCCCTCTCTCGAACTCGCCCTGCCACGAGTCAAAAAGCAGAAATACGGCCAAAAAGAACGGTTGATTTACTGTGTGTGCATGCATGTGTGTGGCTGTGTGTGTGCGTGTGTGTGTGTGTGTGTGCTGTGCGTTGGCTTTTCATTCATTAAAAAAAATAATGTTGGTGGGATTTGCCGTTGCCCGAATTTGTAGTCAATCGCGGTGCCTACTACAGCATACTACGCCATAGATACAGATACAAATACAGATACAGATACAGATACAAATACAGATACAGATACAGATACAGATACACAGAAAAGATACATATCTAAGCATACGTTTATATATAGCTGTAGTTTGGCATATTATGCTTTTAATTAGCGCTCGAGTGGGCCGTGGGCTGTGGGTGGATGGATTGGGTGGGTTTGTGTCTTGGCAAGTGCCAGACATGATAAGCTCGTGCTTGTGCTTCTTCTTGTTGTTGTTAGTTGTATGTGATCTTAACATATGGAGTATTTCTTGTTAATCGAAAGCGAACCCAAGTCTTTCAGTTGGTCTCAAACGTAGCCCAAGCCATAAAAATGTTATGTGGCATATATTATGCTTTATTCCATAAACATTTAAAGAGCCAACCTTACAAATTCTCTAACCGTTTGCACTGATTAGCATTATTTAAACGTTGTGCGATTTTGGAAATATTTGATATATGCCAATTTATCGAGATAATATATGATTTACAAAAGGATTTAATTGCTTAGCCAAACACCTGGCCTAGTTATGCTCATGTTAAGGTTTTAGCTTTATGTAAATGACGTGCGATTTGAAAAAGATATTTAATGAACTCAATTAACAACAAAATACGTAGATTACAAAAAGATTTGTCGAGTTAACTATTGAGACTGAGAAGTTACGCACATTTGAAGCGAAATACTTGGAGGAATATTATAATAAAACGAATAGAAACCCATTAAACCTTAAGTTAAGTTAAAATTGCGCGGCTTTGAGCGGCAGCCGTAGATTAACAGCTGAAGATTAACATGAACATTAACATGAACATTGCGCCCGCATTGTAAGACGAGAAACGGCTCAAAGTCGTTGCTAGCGAAACCGCAAACTGTTTTTAATTGAAACGAGGCAAAAACAAGCCAAGCTGAGCGAAATAAAAAAAAAAAAAAAACGTGGAACGCGAGCGGGGGCGGGGGCGGAATAACAAAGGAAAAACAAGCGCTGAGACTGACAGCAGGCTGCCCCCCTCATCCCTACGCACCCCCTCGTTCTGTATAGAAACAGGAAATGCAGCTAATCAAGCGTGTGAGTTGCAACAAATTGAACGCAAGGAGCTCTTAACTGGGCTTGGGCCTGGGCCTGGGTCGAGCTGCTAAGCAGCTTAGCAGAGGCAGAGGCAGAGGCAGAGGCATAGACAAAGCCGCGCTGCTTGCCACATATCTTTTTGTTGGCGTCGCCTCGATGTCTGGCTGTGCAGGCCAGCGGAAGGGAATTCCCGTTTTCCGGATTAACACAAGCATAAAAAGAAGAAAAACCCAAAGCTGCAAGGCAATGCAACAAAACACACACGCACACACACACCGCATCGCATCGCACCGCCCGGCTTAAGGGTGCGAGCCAGTGCAGCGGCTGTCCGGCCAGGTAGCCGGAAAAACCCAAACCCGTAAGAAGAAATAGGAAAAACAGGGCCCACTTTTATGGCCCAGCCGGCGGGCGTGGCGTATGCGCAATATGCGCTTGCATAACAACTATAGACTATATATATATTATATAGGTGTGAGGACTTACCTGCCGGTCGATTGGAGCGTCTGGCCGTGTCGGCCTCCTCGAACATGAGCGGCGCATGGCGGCGCGCCTGGACCGCTTGGGGCCAGCAGCTGCTCAGGCTGGACAGGCAGAGGAGCAGCGCGACGAGCAGCAGCTGTTGCAATCTTCTATGATAACGGTATGTGGCGCCGGTTATGTTGCAAGTGCAACTGTTGCAATTGTTGTTGCTGCTGCTGCTGCTGCTGCTGTTGCAAGCTGTGCTGCTGTCCGTTGCCGCCGCCCCCGCAACCGCTGGCCTGTCCAGCAACTGCACGGTGCCCGTGGCCGTGGCCCAGGCGGTGGCAGCGTTCGTTTGTTTGTTGTTCATTTCGTTGATTTTTAATAATTATTATTCAATTTCTGATTAAGTTAAGCACGAAAAAAAAAATAGTAATATGTACTAACTGTAAATAAGTTGCACGCACTTTGTTGCTGCTACGCAAACAGAAAAAAAAAAACAATATATATTTATTTCGACCGACCGTACCGTTATTTGTTGTTCTTGTTGTTTGTTTGTTGTTGCATATATATATATATAAAAATATATTTAATTTTGTTGTTGTTTTTTTTTCTTTTTATTTTTTATAGATTAGATAACACACGCGTGTTTCTTGCTTTTGTTTCTTTTTGCAACACTTTTTTGTTGCTGTTGCGCGCACTATTTTGTTTTTTGTTTTTTTTCTACTTTAATTGAAATCTATTGAGAAATTTCGTCAAATTTTAATCACAACTTGTTTTTGCACATTTCTCATTTGTGCGTTTTTTCCCCAACAAACTTTTCATAAAACAAAAGTTAGCCAAAATAAAATCTGTTGCCAGTTGTTGTTAATGTTGCCTGTTGCTTGTTGCTTGTTGCTTGTGGCTTGTTGCTTGTGTTGCTGTTGTCGGCGAGTCGGCGAGTTTTTATCTACTAGATAGCTCACGGGGCGCACACGCCGTGTATATGGGCTCTGGCTGCTGCGCCGCTGCTTGCTCAACTGCGACTGTGTGTGAATGTGTTTGTGTGTGTGTGTGTGTGTGTGTGTACGACGATGACGACGCGACGTGTGCGTGTGTGTGTGTGTGTGTGTGTGTGTGTGTGCGGTTACGAACGTTTCAGAAAATAATGTCCACACACGGTATCGGTCGGTTGAATAAATAAACTAAAACAAGCGCAAACGATGACAGCAGCGACCGCGACTGCGACTGCAACTGCGACAGCGACGCTGACGGCAACGGCGACTGCGACGCTAAAGAGAGCGAGAGAGAGCGTGTGCACACAGTATGTGCAGGCCAGACAGGCAGGCAGGCACGCAGGTGAAGCGCAAACAAAAACAACAACAATTGTTAAACTTGTGAGAGAGCGCGCGCGCGTCAGCTTCAGAGAGTGAGCGAAAGAGAGAGAGAGAGAGAGAGAGAGCGGCTAGCGTGCAGGAGAGCGCGAGAGCCATTAAGTTGCTGCTGTCGGCGTCGTGTACACGATCGTGCGGCGCTCGGCTTTCGTCGTCGTCTTTGCTGCTGCCGGCGTCGCAGCAGCAAACGTAGCGCTTGCAATTTTCTTTAGATGTTGTTGTTGTTGTTGCTATTGTTTGCCGTTTGCAAAACCTGCGCCTTGCTGCTGCTGTTGCTGCCGCCGCCGCCGCCGCCGCCGCCGCCGTCGCTGCTGCTGCGGCTGAGTCGCGTGTCGCCAAGATGTTTGCCCGATGACGAACGACGCGCCGCCGTTCAATGCTTGCGCTGCCAGCCTAGCAGCAGCGGCGCATGCGTGCGTGCTGTTGGCCACCCCCTTCTCCCACCATGTGCCATTTGTTGCGCCAGCAACATGTAGCCTGCATGGCATTTGCACGCAACATGTTGCCGGCCACTCGACCCGCGCACACCTTGATTGCCTGCTCTACCTGGCGGACTGCTTGTGTGCAAATTGCGTTGACTGCGCGTGGGCGTGAGCCTGCGCCCAGTGGGCGAGGGAAACGAAGATGGTGTGGGCAGCGGCAGCGGCAGCGACTGGCCAGCGCGGGGTAGGGGTGTGCAAGCGTGACATTTATGGCCTGCGCATCCTTTCAGCCAATCGCAGGCTTGCAAATGCATTGAGCGAAAGAGCGAGAGCGGGCGAAGAGAGGCGCGCAGCAGCTAAGATTTTGTGTGTGTGCGTGTGTGTATCTATGCTAAATTATCTTGATACGATTAGTTGATATGATAGAGTGACTAAGAGAGAGAGAGAGAGAGAGAGAGAGAGAGAGAGCGAGAGCTAGTTTCTCTTTCTGTTGTTGTTTTCTTTTGGGTTTCTGTGCTAATTAGTTCGTCAGCTGAGACTGAGACTGAGACTGAGGCTAAGGCTCGACGACCCCGTCAATTACCCAATTACCCAGTTAGTATGTTTACCTTATGTGAAGGGGAAGGAGGGGGGGATTTAACCCTAGGGTATATGGATCACTCTTTAAAAGGCAGCAAATGGTTCGCTTTGATTATTCTTACTTTGGACAAATATTCCCATCTGGACGTTCCATATAATTTATATTAAAAAAAAAAAACATTAATGCACATTTTGTATTTTAAATTTATCTGTTTTTTATATGCCAATTTTATGGGTTTTATAAAAATTCCATTTCAAGTGGTTCACAATGGAAAAAAACATTTTTCAAAAATATTCTTCCCAAAGAATACGAATTTTGCTTGAAACGTCATTTATTTTTTGGAATATTCTAATTTTTTGGCAGTTCCCATTGAGGGATCTCTCATTATTTGAGACCTTCTCAAGCCCATGAAGAGGATGACGATATGTTTAACCCATGGAAGAAGACATCTATAAGACATATGAGCTATATATATCTTATATATATACTAGCGAGTTTTACTGGGCAAAACGATGAACTTTGCTTGGAAAACGACAATAAAGAAAGAGTTTGCAAATTTTCCACCCGAATTTCACAGTTGCGAGTGGAATTGCCAAAATCACTGAAAATCGTATTCTTTTAATTTTAATATTAAGGGCTACGAAAATCAGTTTAATAATAAGTTGGAAGCTGATCGGGAATTGGTCTCTCACCCCCTTTATTATTATATATTGCTGTAATGGAAGGATCGGTCGAAAAGTAGCTTCTTGTCTAGACAACTTTTTATCAAGATATCTTAATCAAACTTGACATTAATAGGTTTCACTCTGCTTCATATATATGCAAATTCTCATCAACATCGGGCTACTATATCATCTAGCTGCAATAGGAACGATTGGTGGAATATCAAGTTCTCAAAAATAAAAAACATTTTTCAAGAAATCTTGACTATTTACCATATTATAAAGCACAACAAGAAGAATCAGTCGCGAATTGAGTTCTGTGTGGCAAACTGATATGTTCTTCAACATATTTCCATCTAACTCAACATGTTCACACATCTGCATAATCACAGGGCAAGTGCCTGCAAGGGTATTAAAAAATATCCTTAATTTATCGTTTTCTTCTTTTAAGATATTTTAAACTATTTTCAGATAATATCAAGGATTGTTTGCTTTGATCTAAGCATTAAATAAAATACGACTTTATAGGGTTAAGAACTGATCGGGCATATTGCCACATATGTCAGAGTAAGGGTATTCAAGCTACGACATTCAAAAAAAAAAGTTTTCTTTTCATATGGTTTTTAAAGTGAATTGCTGAATAGCAAATTATTAATTGAATTATAATTTATTCTGTTTAGTTTAAGATGCGGCGAATTGCCCGCCTAAGCTGCAATTGCAATTTGTTTGTGTGTGCGTGTGCCTGCGCTGCTGACTGCGACGGCGACGTCAGCGTTGACGTTGACGTCGCTCGCTAAAACTACATAAATCAAAGGAAAAGCATTTTTCTCTGCTTTGTTGTTGTTGTTGTTGTTGCTTTTGCTTTTGCATTAGCATTATGTACGCATGTTTCAGACATTTAACATTTCTTTTCATAAAGACAAGAGACAGATATCGCACTTAAACGCACACACACACACACACACACACACACACACACACACATGCGAAGATACATATATTAAATATATTAAGTTTTATATATTTGTTCGTTTTTTCTTTTTGTGTTTTGTGTTTTGTGTTTTTTTTGCGGCGGGCCGTGAGGCCAAAACATTTATAGGAATATTTCAAATCGCAGACACGACGCCAGTCACAGCGTTGACGCCGGCAGTGACGTCGACGTCGACGCCAACGTTGCGGCGGCAGCGCATTAAATGAGGCTGACAAAAAGAGTAGCAAGGCAAAGAACAAAAAAAATATATAGAATTCAACAAACAATAAGTGAAAAGTTCTCGCGTTCAAAATTCTATGCGCAAAAAATGGAAAATTATGAAATGGAAAAGCAGACGGAAAAAACATATATGACTAACCGAAGCTGAAATACCCTAACTTAAATAACTTATGCCAAATATGGAAACTATGAAAATACCTGACAAGTACAATTAGCCGAAGCTGAAATACCCTAACATTATTAAAGCGCAGTCGAGCAACAAATATAACAAATACAACGACTCAGTTACCCTAACATTATTCTTTTATATGGCAGCTATTTGATATAGTGCGCCGATCTATATACACTATCTAGAGCCAAAAGCTGAAGCTGTACCAAGTTTCAACAAGAAAGCTGCATCCAGAGTCGAGTTCGCATAGGTTAGAGAACAATCTTTTATCGCTTTCAAGCTATCAGAATATTTCACATAATTGCCATACACTTTGTTAGGGTATGTGTTGAGTCTGTGTAGCCTGTTGCCAGCTGCCTATTTTCGTGCTTATTATTTCATAATTTTCTTTGCATTCCAAATTTTTTTTCCATTATTTATTTGTTTAGTTTTTGGCTTTTTTTTTTTTTTTTTGGTTTTTTTCAACTATTTTAATTTGTTTTATTTTTGCTTTAAGAGTGACAGAAATTATGGTTAAACGATATCGCGCGATTTTATGGCCAACGCCTGGCGCTACATTAAAATTGTTGACCCGCCTTTGCGACTCGTTCTCTTTGTTCTTGTTGTTGCCGTCTGTCTGTCTTTTATCTTGTGCAGTTGTTGTTGATAATGAAATTGACAACATGGGAATCGAAAAAACGCGAAAGCAAACAAATTAATTAACTAAACGCCAGCCTTGTGCTGTTGCCCCCTCACATCCCACTCGTTATTCGCCGCCCACTTCTTGCCTCTGCCCTCTCGCCGGTCGTCAGTTTATACAGATTTTACTCAGATTGTCATAAATTTGGCAAACGAACCGAGTAGTATTGTTTAATACTAATACATAATATATTTGCGGTGCTGTTGCCCCCTCTTTCGACACTCGCTGCTTGCCACTCCTGACTTGCCACTCGCTGCTTTCCTCTTGTCACTCGCCACTCTAGAAAGCATAAAAATTGGGTAACTAATCGTTAGCCTTTTGCTGTTGCGCCCTCACTCTTCACTCGCTGCTAGCCACTCGTTGCTCGCCACTCGCTGCTTTCCTCTTGCCACTCTCGAAAGCAAACAAATTAAGTAACTAAGCGCCAGCCTTGTACTGTTGCCCCCTCGATCGCCACCCACCG